CCGGAGTCGCACCTGCGGCCGGCCTCAAAGGAGAACACCCCCTGGGGTGGGGGTGGGGGATGGGGTAGCGCAGGAGTCAGAGGGCCAGGGTCGGGGGCGTCCCTTTCTCTGGACCCCAGGGGTGGGGGCCTCACCTTGTCAGAGCCGAACTTGCGCAGGAAGCGGTAGGGCCAGGTGTAGAGCGTCTGCGGGCTGGCAGGGTCCTGCAGCTGGATGGCATCTTGGCCCAGTGCTAGCAGATAGGGCCCCTTCAGCTGGCAACGAGCAGCAGCCTCTGTCCTCTGCGCCACCACTGGAAACTCGGCCACTGCAGACAGCAGCCCCGTGAGGCTCCCCTCAGGCCACCATGGAAGCCAGTGCACCCACCACCCCTCATCCGGCCCCAGGCAGCCCAGCCCAGCTGGCACCTCCCCAACTCACCTTCCTGCCAGGAGGAATAGATGGCGTTTTCCTCCATGGGGACACGGCCCCGGGTGGGAGACTCAGCCTCCCCTGAAGCTGAGGTGCTTTCGCCTATGCCCTGAGGGTAGGTGGGCCCAAGGTCAGAGGTTAGTCTCCTCACTCCTCCCTACCCTCTTCTTCCTGAGTTCAGTAACTCATGATGCTGGACAAGCAAGCCAGGGCATGCGGATCAGGTGTCAGTCTCTCTGCCCATGTGCCAGTCCTCTGTGCCCATTCCAGCACCAGAGCCTGTCCCATCCACTGCCCCTGGGGGTCTGGACACATGGGACGATGCCACCCCTACCCCCCATAGGAACTGGGCCTGTTGTGTGCCCCTCAACGTTGAGGAGCTCTGAAGGGGCAGGAGAGCTGGGGGGGACCTACCAGTGACCTGACCCTAAGCACCCCACTCCTTAGGGAAGTACAGAGTTCCCGCCTGCTCCCTGACACCCACATCCAGTCTCCAAGCAAGCCCTTGCCACCCCACCCCCACCCCTACCTCCACCCCCACAGGCTGGAATAGCACTAGGGCTCCTACCAGCTCTGCTTTCACGCACCAGCATGCCTTCACTTCTCCTCCGTTCTGTGGTCAGCGGGACATAGGTCTTGTGGTGGAGGAAAAACTGCTCACATGCGCCTCAGACCAAAAAAAACCAGGAGGCCCAAGCACCCACAAGGCGCCCCCCTCCTCTCCAGTTTCTCAGCAGGTCTCACTAGATTTTGATTCCCAGGGAGGCTCCTCAAATGCCTTGGAATTATCCTCAGCAACACGTGATGTTACCTTGGACCAAATCAAAGGGAATTAAACATTAAAGCACTTGGCAACTGCTGGGAGCCTGCTCTGTTTTGATCTTTCCCGCGCACACACATTCATGGGCGGATGCAGCTTTTCTTTCATAATCTTCATCATTGCTTCTTGGGGGACTTCCGTCTAATAAGGTGGTTGCACTCCTATCATAACATGGGGAGGGACTGGCTATACTGTCTTTTGGAATGCTGGGAACATTTCTGTAGAATGTCCACCAGGGTTTGCATTTTGGTCGCTAATGGTGA